AGGTTTGTACCTATGTTGTTTATTTATTATTTCTTGCCTATATCTTGTAATATGAGAAACTACTTTGGCAGTAATAATACACAATGTACTAACCATTGTTACTCTCCTAAAAAAATAAATAAAAGGAAAAAAAAGCAAAAATAAATAAATAAATAAAAAACAAAGTGAGTGGGCTAGGGGCATGGCTCAGTGACACAAAACTGGCTTAGGGGACTTAAGACCCTGAGTTCAATCTCTGACTACCAAAAAAAATAGAAAAAAAGTATGGTACTTACCCTTAGGGGTTTTACTATTTATTTATTTATTTATTTATGTATTCAGTACCGGGTCTACAGGGTCTCACTACACAGATCAGACTCATAGTGATCCTCCTGTTTTCAGCCTCCCAAGCACTGGGATTACAGGTGCATGCCACCACCCCTAGTCTCAACGCACCCGGGGGCAGGGCTGGCTCGGCTTCCCAGGAACCCTTGGGGTTTTTTTAATAGTTTTCATGCTTCCGCTCTTGCTCTCACTTTCACTCTCCCTCTATCTCTCCCTCTCGCTCTCACTCTTGCTCTCACTCTCACTCTTCTTCTCCCTCTCGCTCTCCCTCTCCCACTCACTCTCACTCTCCCTTTCACTCTTGCTCTCACTCTCACTCTCTCATTCTTGCTCTCGCTCTCCCACTCTCACTCTCCCTCTCCTTCTCCCTCTCCCTCTCACTTTCCCTCTCATTCTTGCTCTCCCTCTCACTCTTGCTCTCGCTTTCCCTCTCCTTCTCCCTCTCCCTCTCACTCTCCCTCTCGCTCTCACTCTCCCACTCTCACTCTCACTCTCACTCTCATTCTTGCTCTCGCTCTCCCACTCTCACTCTCCCTCTCCTCCCTCTCGCTCTCCCTCTCCCTCTTCCTCTCCCTCTCACTCTTGCTCTCCCTCTCACTCTCACTCTCATTCTCGCTCTCACTCTCCCACTCTCACTCTCCCTCTCCTTATCCCTCTCACTCTCACTCTCGTTCTCGCTCTCGCTCTCCCACTCTCAGTCTCCCTCTCCCCCTCGCTCTCCCTCTCCCCCTCGCTCTCCCTCTCCCTCTCACTCTCATTCTCACTCTCGCTCTCCCACTCTCAGTCTCCCTCTCCCCCTTGCTCTCCCTCTCCCTCTCTCTCTCCTTCTCCCTCTCCCTCTCCCTCTCCCTCTCGTTCTCGCTCTCACTCTCCCACTCTCAGTCTCCCTCTCCCCCTCGCTCTCCTTCTCCCTGTCTCTCTCCCTCTCCCTCTCATTCTTGCTCTCCCTCTCTCTCTTGCCCTCACTCTCTCTCTCACCCTCTCAACAGGGTCTCATTATACAGGTTAAGCTGGCCTTGAGCTCACTGTCTATCCCAGGGTGGCCTCAAACTCATGGTTATTTTCCTGCCTCAGCCTCCTGAGTGCTGGGATTACATATATGTGCCACCCACCATCCCTGACTCTATGCTTTTTCTTATTTCCAAATAACTACCTGGTCATTAAATTTTTGTAAATTGCAATAAAAAGAACTTTCCAGGGAAGATCATCGGATATCTTTCTCTTACTATTGACACTAAGATAAACAACTACTTTAAAGATAACAACACACAATACAGCAACCATTGTTGATTTCCTATCCTCTTGTTTTGAAGTTATGTATTGTTTTTAATTTGTTTTTCTTACTTTATTTGCATTTTTTAACGGTTAATTTTCTTTCTTTGGTGGAACCTGGGATTGAACTCCAGCCCCTGTGCTTGCCAGGCAAGTGCTTATTCTACTGAGCTATCTCCCCAGCCCCTTTTATTTGCTTTAAAATAAAAAGATGCCTGTGTTAAAAAAATAAATAAATGAGGGTCATAGAGACAGGTCAGGGCATAAGTGCCTGCCTGGCAAGTGCAAGGTCCTGAGTTGGATCCTCAGTACCAAAAAATAATTAATTAATTTTGAAAAAGAGACTCTACAGTGAACATGTAACATATATATTTTTATTATGATGTGAGAATAAGAACAAGGAAAGATATAAGTATGAAAAAAGACAAGAAAAGAAAGTGGGAGCCAGGTACAGTGTCATACACCTGTAACCCAATAGCCAGAGTGGCTGAGGCAGGGGCATCACAAGTGTGAGTTCTGCCTGGAAGACAGAGCAAAACCCTGTCTCAGAAGAAAACAAAACAACTGCACTGAAGATGGCAATTTGTAATAGTAGGTTCATGCTTAGAGTGCCTGTTATTCTGGTCTTCTGAATACGTGCTGCTTGTTATGACATGCCAGTTGCTGCTGTGCTGTCTCTCAGGTAGATGACTGTTTAAAAAGAAGGGGGTGGTGAATGAAGGCAAAAGACAGGGAAAGGAGTATTGCAGGGCTGTCCTGCAACATTGTTGTATATGGTTATATTTCTGGACTTATGTGTAAACATATATAATTCTTTATTCCTGTTTTTCAAATATATTTTAATTTTTTAAATGTTTTTGTCATATTCTGTAGGGACTTAAACTTTAATATATCAATACTTTATGAAAAATTCCTGCTCCATGTTATGCCTGAGATGTTTGATATTCAGATAGATAGTGAGGTTAAGCTCAACAGTCTAGTTTATATTGCAATAACAATAAACTTCTCTTCGGGAGGATTAACAACCTAAGTTTGCAGTCCAAAAATTAGAGAAAAAGGAGGGCTGCAAAGAAAGCCAACGTTTTGACCCTAGCCTTCCAAGGTCAATTAAGACTCAGGACATATGAGAACTC